ATCATCTCCTCTTCATTCGCAGACTTCCAACACACAAACTGTAAGTTATCAATTACTTGTTCTTCTTTCTTTTCATCTGTTTTTAAATTCTTGATTATTTCCTTTCGATTTGATATCAATCGGTTGAATCTTGATCAAAATATGACCAATTTAGATGCAATTTTATGCTGATTGAGGTTTAATTTTGGGAGAGTTTAAATCTTGTATCAACTTTTGATCTGACCTTGTAACAGGTTCTTACTTCTATTCGATTTTCATTACTTACCGAAGTGAATTGAACTTGATCAACGAAAATCTTTGATGCTCTTTCCACTTTTTTCTTTTCGGGTTGATATTTTTCGGTTTGAATGTTCCATAATGTTTTTAAGATACTCTTTTTTGGTTGATCTGTACATGTGCTTAACACAGCTTTCTTCATTGATAATGGCTACTGCATATGTTCAACGGCCTTGGTGGACGTATGATGTCTTTGTAAGTTTTAGAGGTGAAGATATCCGTAAAAGCTTTATGGATCATCTATTCAAAGATTTAAAACAAAAAGGAATTCATGTGTTTAGAGATGATACGCATCTCACCCTAGGCGAAAAGATATCTCCTAATCTCGACAAAATCATTCAAGAATCGAGGTTTCTGGTAGTCGTCTTCTCTAAAAATTATGCATCTTCGTCATGGTGTTTGAGGGAACTTGTAAAAATCCTCGACTGCAAGGAGGCGAGAGAGCACAAGCATGAGGTTCGAGTGATCTTCTATGACGTGAAGCCTGATGTGGTGAGGAAACAGACTCGGAGCTATGCACAAGCGTTTGCCAAACATGAGATTTTGAATAGAGCAGAGGTTGCTAAATGGAAAGAAGCTTTATCCATGGCTGCCAACTTATCTGGATGGGATCTCCATGACGTGGCAAATGGGTAAACTTTTTCTTTACTATAAAGATTTATATCCCTAATCAAATTAATAAGGAGCCATGTCATTTGAATTTCATTAAGTAGCTGTTTTTCTCCCAAACCATTTCATCTAGTAACTTTATTATAACTAATTCTTCACATTCGGGGTTCTTTCTGGTCAACAGGTTTGAGTCCAAATTCATTGCTAGTATCTCTAAAGAAATCCTAAAAGCATTATCTCATGAACCTTTGCATGTCGGCCAGAACCTTGTAGGGGTGGATGACCGTATAAAGAAAATGAACTTGTTACGGTTTATTCACTCAAACAAGGTTCACATGATTGGAATATGTGGTATTGGTGGAATAGGAAAGACCACTTTTGCCAAAGCCATTTATAACCTCATATATAACCACTTTGAGGAATGTAGCTTTTTGGATGATGTCCAAAGGGCCACAAAACAACATGGACTAACTCATGTCATAATGCAACTTATTAACGACATCATGAAAACAACAGATGTGAGGATACCCAGCATTGGTCAAGGAATTATGGTAATGAAACAAAGGATGGCATCTAGACGGATCCTACTTGTTGTAGATGATGTAGATCATCGTGATCAGTTAGAAGCGCTATCAGGTTCATGTGATTGGTTATCCCCAGGAAGTTTGATTATTTTCACTTGTAAAGACAAGCAATTGCTAAGGTCTCATGAAGTGGATGAAATCTATGACATGGAGTTTCTCAATTATTTTGAATCTCTTGAGCTGTTTAGTTTGTATGCTTTTCATGAAGAACATCCTACTAAAGACTTTCAAGAACTTGCTCTGCAAGTTGTGCGGTATGTGAAAGGTCACCCCCTTGCCCTCAAGGTCTTGGGATCTTTTCTTTACGGAAAAACTGTGAAGGAGTGGAAAAGCGAATTGGACGGGCTCCAAGTATATCCTAATGAAGAGATACAACGGGTGCTTYAATTAAGTTTCGATGCGTTAAGCCCTCAACAAAAAAACATCTTCCTTGATATTGCATCTTCATTCATTGGGGAAAATAAAGATGATGCAACAACTATACTAGATGGTTGTAATTATCATACARATTCAAATATCAAAGTTCTAGTTGACAAGTCATTACTTGTCATTTCTCGCAATGATTTGCTTGAAATGCATGACTTGATACAAAAGATGGCAAGGGAAATTGTACGCGAAGAGTCCAAAACCCTTGGGAAGCGAAGCAGGTTATGGATTTCATCGGAGGTTTATGATGTATTGAAATTCTAATACATGACTTACAGGTCGATTTGCCTTCAAATTTCTGCTACAACAAGTTGAGGGGATTTGGATTATGTGTTGTTTTGACGCTGAAAAAGTCTTATTATAATCACTACAATTGCAACAAATTACCAAGATATCATGTGAACAACTTTGATGGGACTTCTTTGCTTAACGACTATCGACTTTTTAATGTTTCCACTAAAACCCCTAAGTTAGATACCATATGGTTTGGTTTTGAGACTCTGATTTTTAGTAGAYGGAGATGGCAGAAGGCAAAGAATTTTATTACTTTTTCGATTGAACACGATGATGATTGTGAGGTAAAAGAATGTGGTTTTAGACTTGTTTTTGATAAAGATATAGAAGAAGAGACGAATTTCAGTCTCRTTCAGGACCTCCCGACTCCAACACAAGAAGGAGGTGTCATCGATTGGTGGAGGAATCATCAAATTTTATATTGGTCAGGGTAGGTAGTCTGATTAACAAAGATGTATTGTCGTGATGCAYATGTCAAAGCTTGGATGTCATTRWTTGTAACATAATTTTGTCATTTTTCCCTCACAATTGTAATTTGTTTTCAGWATCATAACCATATRATGAAAACTGTCTTTGATTTATATTCATAATTTGTCTCAATTAACTCTTTATTTTTTTCCAAATATTTTTCAATTAATTTTCAACATGTTTGTTTAAATCATGTAACATTATAATCTAACATATCAACTAGTTTTTACCAAATATGACTCATTCATCAGCTACTTTAGTAGGCAATAGTTTGTTTTTCGGCTACTTTATCTGTAACGCCCCATTCCAAAAGAAGGGGGAGTTACTTCAAACATAATGTAACAGGTATATAAAACCTTCATAATAAAGTCTCCAATAGAATTAATACTCCAACAAAAATAATTTCAGACGTCTCCAAATAATTCAACTAAAATCAAACATAGTCTTGAAAAAAAAACGCTAGTCTAATTACAAATGAAAGAAATCAAATACTARCACAAACATCAATAAACCTCTTATAACCTCTTGCAACCCCCTTTAATTACTCGATAAATTTTGTATATTACTCGATATGGTTTTATATTACTCAATATCTTTTGATACATATGAATTTAAGTTTTTTTTATTAAATTAATTTTTTTTTTGGTTTTAGGTTATTAGTTCTTTTATGATGTTGTGGTTTTTTTTTTTGTATTAAATTAAATTCATTCTAATCGGGGACGGGGGTTGAGGTCTCCGCCTCATCCCCGCCCTATTCCCACCAAATTAAATCCCCATGTTCTAGTATTTTAGTTCGATTCGATTTTCATTACTCAATCCAACTTTTTTAGATGTCATAAAGTGAATGAAATTTATGACATGCCACTTTTACCGGATTATAAAGATGTGGAGCTTTTGAGTCTGTATGCTTTTGGCAAAAACCATCCTAGAAAGGATTTCGTATCAGATATCAAATGTCCGAATATGACCTCAATCACTCTCTCAAACCCTTATCATGTCATCTGAAAATCGCATACCGACTCTTCAATAAAYGGTGCATTGTACATGTGCCAACAAGCACATTGAACCAATTACCAAAACYATATTTTTTTCAATTATGATTGATTCAATGGTGGAGATMTATTMTTACTTTTCTCGTTGAAAYCCAACTCATATTAATTAACGAGTTTAAATAAATTAACGTCAAATCAACGTAATTTTTTAAAGTGTTTATAMAGATTTTGAAAAAGTTTGACCAACATTGGTTTCTATTTCATCTCGAAATATTGTAATTTATAATATATTAAATAATTATAAATATTTGATGCTACAACTAAAAAGACAACTCCGTTATATTTAACTAACTTTTAAATGGATCCATTAATTATGAATTGAAAAAAGGATAAGTTTCATAGTTGAGGGACTGGAAATTAAACTTTTTCCATATAAAGGTTACTTGAGGTCAACACGCGGCTATTTCTTTATAATTTGATGGCCGCTTCCATTTTCAGACAGAGTCATCTCCTCTTCATTTGCAGACTTCCAATCCAACACAGAAACCGTAAGTTATCAATTACTTGTTCTTCTTTCGATTTGTTATCAGTCGGTTGAATCTTGATCAAAATATGACCAGTTTAGATGCAAATTTATGTTGATAATGGATGGAATGAGCATTTAAACCACTCAATTGTACTTTTTAAGTTGATGGAAACAATCGATCTATGAAATCCCCAATTTTTCATGGACTTTTTACAACTTCAATTTTGAGGTTTATTTTGAACTTGCTTCTAWTCGATTGAGGTTTAATTTTGGGAGAGTTTAAATCTTGTATCAACTTTTGATCTGACCTTGTAACAGGTTCTTACTTCTATTCGATTTTCATTTCTTACCGATGTGAATAGAACTTGACCATGACAATCTTTGATGCTCTTTTCACTTTTTCTTTCCGGGTTGATATTTTTCGGTCTGAATGCTCCATAATGTTTTTAAGCTGTTCTTTTGATTATAGATAATGGCTAGTACGAGTGCATCCTCTCAACATCGATGGACATATGATGTTTTTGTAAGTTTTAGAGGTGAAGATATCCGTAAAAGTTTCATGGATCATCTATTCAAAGATTTCAAACAAAAAGGAATTAATGCTTTCAGAGATGATGACGAAAACCTGAGAGGAGAAGAGTTGCCTCCTGAACTGTACAAAGCCATTGAAGAATCATGGTTTTTGATAGTTGTCTTCTCCAAAAAATTTGCATCTTCGTCATGGTGTTTGAGGGAACTCACAAAAATCCTCGATTGCAAGCGAGCAGGGGAGCCCAAACATGAGGTCCGAATTGTATATTATGATGTAAAGCCTGATGTAGTGAGGAAACAAACCGGGAGCTATGCGGAAGCCTTCATAAAACATGAAAGTTCAAATACAACCGAACAGGTTGCTAAATGGAAGGAAGCTTTACGCGAGGCTACCGACATTATTGGTTGTGATCTCCAAGACTTTGCCAACGGGTAGTTTTTTCTTTAGTACAATGATATATTTTCACCTTCAAATTAACCGACACCATATGTATACAATACATTTCATTATTTGTGCGGTTTTTTGGCCAACAGGTATGAGTCCAAGCTCATTGATGACATCTCCAAAGATATCCTTGATAGGACATGTAAAATTAGATCCTTGGATGTTGGTGAGAAGCTCGTAGGGGTGGATGACCAGATAGAGGAAATGGACTTGTCACGCTTCACTGGACCGGGTAAGGTGCACATGCTTGGAATATGTGGTATTAGCGGTGTAGGGAAGACAACTCYTGCCAAAGCTATTTATGACAAGATGTGTATGGACTTTATGGGATGCTGTTTTTTTTGAAAATGTCCAACGAGTAGCAAAACATAAAAGCATAACAGAAGTCCAAATGCAAATTATTAATAGCATCTTGAAAACAAGAGTTGAAACGTTAACGAATGTGAATGACGGAATCAAGTTAATAAAGGAGAGGATGGCATCTAAGCCGATCTTGCTGGTTTTGGATGAAGTGGATGATCGGGAGCAGTTAGAAGCATTAGCCGGTTCCCCTGATTGGTTTTGCCTTTGGAAGTTTTATTATTTTCACCGGTAAAGACAAACAGTTGCTAAGGTCTCATGAAGTGGATAACATTCACGACATGTCGTTTTTACCGATTCATAAAGCCAGGGAGCTTTTTCATTTGTATGCTTTTCGCCATAAGCATCCTACAGAGGATTTCATGGTGCTCTCTAACCAAGTTGTGAAGTGTTTGCAAGGGCACCCTTTGGCTCTTATAGTTTTGGGTAGTCATTTGTATGGCAAGTCTATGTATGTGTGGCAAAGCGAAGTGGGTATACTCCAAAAATATCCTGATGCAGAGATACAACAAAAGCTTAGACCAAGTTTTGATGCGCTAGACTTCKATAAGRAAAACATATTTCTTGATATCGCCATCTCGTTCATTGGGGAAGATAAAGATTTGGCAGCAAGTGTACTAGGAAGCAGTGCACATGCTAATATTGAGGTTCTAGTAGATAAGTCACTTATTACAATATCTCGACATAATAATTCACTTCAAATGCATGACTTGATTCAAAGCATGGCAAGGAGAATTATACATGAGGAATTTGTGGTAAAGGAAGTGTGGAGCAGACTGTGGAGTTTATCAGAGTTTCGTAACGTATTGAGCAAAAATAAGGTAAGAATTGGCATATGATTCTTTTTTCTACTTAATACATAGTTTAAGTAATAAGCTATATGTTTTCAGAATTTGATAATCTTATTACTTATATCTAGGCATTAGAAGGAATGGAAGTTCTTGACCTTTCTCTAGAGCAATCTAGTCAAAACGTTCACATAGACGGTGAAGCTTTTGAAGATATGAAAAATCTGCGGATCCTAAAAATTTCTTATGGGGAACTCAGAAACTTTTGGGAGGACTCTAAGGTGAATTACTCTGGAAGGCTGAAAGCTTTATCGAATAAGCTAACGTTGCTATATTGGAATGGATGCCCTTTTGAGTTCCCTTTGGATTTTTATCCAGAAAACATTGTGATCATTGACTTGTCTTACAGCCACTTAAAAACTCTTTGGACGACACCTAAGGTAAGTATTCGTTCATGAATTTCTTCTTTCTTTAACAGCCCTTGATTTAAGTACTAACATTTTTGTAACGGATGTTAGTGTTTTGAAATGTTGAAAGTGATGAAGCTAAGGCATTGTCGTAACCTAACAAGTACCCCCAATTTCAAAGGATCACAAATCTCGAAGAACTCATTCTTGAAGGTTGTGTGAATTTGGTTAAAGTCCACCCATTGGTTGGGATGCTCAAGAAGCTTGTTGTTCTGAATATGGAAGATTGCAAATGTTTTAGGAGACTCCCTTGCAAAGTCGAAATGGATTCTCTTGAAGTTGTGAATCTCTCGGGTTGCTCAAAACTGGACAAACTTCCTGAATTCTTTGGCACAATCCGGAGTTTGAAAGAGTTTTGTATCGATGGTACCGCCATAATGGAACTTCCTTCTTTTGTATTCTCTCAAAACAACCTTCAAATATTGGGATTTGGTCGACATGAGAAGAGGATCCGGTCTAGATGGTGTGGTTCAATTTCTCAACCTTCATGGTTTCTAAGTAAGATGCAACATCCCCAAAATCTAGTAATGCCTTCATTGGCGGATTTACGTTTCTTACGAGAATTAAATATTAGCGATTGCAATATATTGGAAGTATCTGATAGCATTGGAGGGTTATCATGTCTAGAATCTCTACATTTGGGTGGGAATAACTTTACTAGCTTACCTGGATGTCTGAGTCAACTTCATCGTCTTAGATGTTTTTACCTTTATGGTTGCAAGAAGCTGGAAATGCTTCCAGAACTTCCACCTAACCTTCGCATTCTTGATGCATCTTATTGCACCTCCTTGTATCAAAATCCATCTACCGATTTTAATATTCAATCATCCTTATCCATGTTTTTTGAAGGTTGTCCAAAATTGTTTAGGAATGTTAGCATTGAAAGCCCGGTTTGTATGTGTCAGCCTCCACTTGATCTTAACTCTTCTATAACCTCCCATAGTTGTAGAAACCAAATTTCTTCTTCGCTTCAATTTATGGAGTTCCCGAATAACATACGTGAAATCTTCGATGGACAAGACAATTACGATTTGGATATAAAATATCATGGAAATAGAATTCCACAATGGTTTACACATACAAGTATGGGAAATCACTTACAGTATGATTGGCCTTCAAATTTCTGCTACAACAAGTTGAGGGGATTTGGATTTTGTGTTGTTCTGACGCTGAAAAAGTCTTATTATGATTACAAAGATTACCGCAGTTTACAAGGCTATCATGTGCACAACTTTGATGGGACTTCTTTGGTTTTCGACTATCGATTTATATATAGTTCCACTGGAATCCCTAAGTCAGATTTCATATGGTTTTGTTTTAGGACTGGGATTTATAGTGGATGGAAGGAGGCAAATAATTTTTTTTACTTTTTCGATTAAATACGGTGATGATTTTGAGGTAAAAGAATGTGGTCTTAGACTTGTTTTTGATGAAGATATAGAAGAAGAGACGAATTTCAGTCTCATTCAGGACCTCCCGACTCCAACACAAGAAGGAGGTGCCATCCGAATGTGCAGTAATAATCGAAGATTCTATTGGTCGGAGTGGGTAGTCTGATTAACAAAGATGTATTGTGGTGATGCATATGTCAAAGCTTAGATGTAATTGATTGTAACATAATTTTGTCATTTTTCCCTCACAATCGTAATTTGTATTCAGTATCATAACTATATGTAATGAAAATTGTCTCTGATTTGTATTYGTAATTTGTTTTAATTAACTCTTAATTTTTTTCCAAATATCTTTCAATTAATTTTCAACATGTTTGTTTAAATCATGTGACATTATAATTTAACCTATCAACTAGTTTTTACCAAATATGACTAATTCATCAGCTACTTTAGTAGGCAACAGTTTGTTTTTCAGCTAGTTTATCTGTAATGCCCCCATTCCAAAGGAAGGGGGAGTTACTTCAAACATAATGTAACAGGTATATAAAACCTCCAAAATAAAGTCTTCAATAGAATTAATACTCCAACAAAAATGATTTCAGATGTCTCCCGATAATTCAACTAAAACCAAACATACTCTTGAAAAAAAAACCGCTAGTCTAATTACAAATGAAAGAAATCAAATACAAGCACAAACATCAATAAACCTCTTATAACCTCTTGCAATCGAACCTCGTATACTCTTCTTCCCGAAATCTTAGCAACCCCTTTAATTACCTGTCGTGATGAAGAAAAGGAAACACGGTTGAGCCAAATGCACGGTGCATGGATAAACAATTATAATACAAAAAGGGCAAAAATTGGGTTCAAGATGTAAGGCAATACGGGTACAAAATCTTAAAGAAACCATTAAATATCGTAATCAGACAAGTAAAATATGAAGGGACAAATCGAGCTCGAAAAACACATACACTTGTATATCAACTGATAGAACAAGGGCCAGACATATGGCCACACAGGCCTGTACATTGGACTGTAGATCCACATGTAATTACGAGTGAACGGAAATACGTGGTAAGGGACAATTTGGTAAGGGACAATTTGAATAAACATGAGTTAAAGGAAAGCTTACGGGTTCATAAACATATTTAAACGATATATATGAACAAAAAGGTTTAGGAATCCGTATCTTAAACTTCACCAAGCTTATCAATTCCCCAAGTCTACTCCTTTATTCTCGACCTAAAATTACCTAAGATTTACTGTTAATCCTAATTATTAACTTAATGACATAAAGCGAAACAAATTTGATTTTACGACTATTAAAATAACCAAAACCCAACCATATTCTATGAATCTTAAATACTAAAATGGAAGCAATATAAAGAAAATGGAACGTAACTTGTGAAAAGCACAATAATAGGGAAACGCATGGCACTCATCGAATATATGCACCAACAGCTTAATTTCTATTTGGGCAGCCCCTTCCCACACACACCAGTAGCCCAAACAGAAAAGTCATGCCACACCAGTTTCCGGTGATTCACACACCTCTCTTGAGAATAAAATAACCGAAACTCTACCTACTAACTTTAAGCAATAACTAGGACTAATTTTGAGGGGGAAACGAGCAGAATTTCGGGGCTCTATTGACGAACCGCATGCTAATATTGACTGAATTGATGACTTTCGAGCCACCGAAACGACTTCGATTTCACAAAATGGAATGTTGATTCACACTTCATGTTCTGAGAAATATTTACTATCCGAAAAGAGGAAAAAACGGAATCTTTGTCCTCACCCTGACTGTTGAAGGTTAAAGGAACATTGTTAACAAGATCCTGGAGTAGTTCGTTTTTTATTTAATGGTTTTTTTAACATCCTTATAGATGGGTAAATTTATATAATTTAGGTATCAAAAAATACGTTAGACAATTTAACATATCATATATACGGTGTAAAATAAAAACATCATGAGAACATCTCTAATAGATTCTCAAAAATGGAGACTTTTGCTCCAACAGTTCCCTAAAACCTTCTCCAACAGAAAACGAAATTCTCCAAATTTAGAGATTTCTCGAAACAATGATTACTTAGAGCATCTCCAATAGGTTCTCCAAAATGGAGAATTAAAATTCAAAACCTCTAAAAGATATTGCATTCAACTGTTGTAACAGTCTCTTCATTTTAGAGATTACAACAATAATTATATCTTTAAAATATTCCATACATTTAATAAAATATTAATTTCAAAATTTCTTATTGCTGGAATAAATAAATAAAAAATATTTCTCTCTCATGGTAATCATTTTTTAGAGTTTTCTAAAATTTGGAGGTTTTTGCACCCTCCTCCGACTTTCTCCATGTGAAATCCTGCGAAATACCAACCACACTTACAATGTTTGCAATCCTGTTTATGAATTTGAAAGGAATCCTAAGATTTCAAATCTGGAAAATCTTTCAAACCAAACGTAGGATTGGAATGAAATTTGTTTCCAAATCTCACCAAATATAATATGATCCTACAAACCAAAGGAATAACGTAATCTTTTTGTCAACTGTTTTCAAAAGTTCATAAGCCAACGAATAACAAAAAGTAAATTTTGATGCTGATAAATAAAAGAATCGATTTAATTTTTCTATTCATCACCATTTTCCTAAATAACGTAATCCAATCTTCAAGGGTTTAACGCATTTAAGTTCAAGAAGAGCATAACCAATGCTTACCAACTGATTTAAGTCAATACGTTGTTGATATGTTGCCTGACTGCTAGATTACAAAGGAATGAAGAACTTATACAAATAAAGAACCATGATCGAAGACTACTGCAAACTGTTTCATTTTCCGTTCATCTTTTAATATGTAAGAACCTCCCCCACTCTCTATAGTAGTGCTTTTGGTAAGTGGTTGTTTTAACACGATGATTCAAAGAGGTTCCACATATCCTAGTATGAGAATCCAACATAATAAACTCTAAAAAGCACAATACAATATGCGTCAACAATCAAAATAGTCTATGTTAATGTCAGCGGTACCATTTGGATCTAGTCATTAACAACGAATTAGAAGTATATATGCCGGAATGTCACGTACCAAATGAATTCAAATAGTCTCGTAAATAAAGAATGAAACAAAGACAACACAGGAAATCAACAAAAACATCTGGAAATCGTTGTGTGTATATATATAGAGAGAGAGGTTGATTATTATACAACATATGACATTTGTGCAACCAATACAACTCAATCTCAACCGTCTATTTCATTTGATTAATATGTGATTTCATAGAAGTTTTGATTGTTTCCTAATATAAAGTATTGATCATAATTAATTAAACATATTCATCTTCCATAAATATTCAAATCATAATAAATGAACTCTCTTGGGTTGCATTGGTTGTACAAATGAATCAGGTTGTATTTGAAACAAACTCTCTCTCTCTCTCTATATATATATATATATATGTGTGTGTGTGTGTGTGTCAAAGACAAAAATGGTCTAAGATTTGCTTTGTAAATGTCTATATATGTATACCCTCTGCTCAATAATGGAAAATTGATGTGTTATAAATTTACTAGAAAGATACTTGCGCAATATAGCGAGATACATCTTCATTTTAATGTTTCGTTTTATTTTTTGTCTCTATTGATATACTACGGTTTATATGGTTTCGATAAAGATAATTTTTTTTACTTTAGAATAAAAATAAATTTGAAGATATCATAAAGATTTGAAAAATATATATCGATATTTATATCAAATTAACTGTTTAAAAATTCTCGTTTTTTTGTACAATTTCTTTAATTCAATTTTTTATTATAATTTAATTTGGTCTAATAGCAAAGTTATTTATTTTTGACTTAACAATATAACTTTTATAAAAATAAGTATTCTGTTAGAACTCAATGATTATCCTAATTATATTTTAGATTTTTGATATTTAAAATGGGATGTTTATAATGTATTCGATTACGTTTATCTGCAGTTAGTTATACGAATTAAAAAAATAGAGTTTTAATAAGTTGTACTTATGCACAATTTAATCGTAATCTTAAATTTAAGTAATATGCATTAATACATAGTACTTCATATATAAAGAATGGTTTTTAAGAGTTTTTTGTCAAATGTTTTATAATATAGTATAGATAACTGCAAGTGTATGGATGTGTGTAGCATACAGGTCGATCATGAGGAGGCGATGCGCTAAACATAGATTTGCTCGAGACTATGACCTAGCTAAGGGAATAAAAAAATAACAAGCCCAAGATTAATCCCAAGATTTTTAATCCAAGACAACAAGCCCCAATTTAATTGAAGCTAGACTACACCATGAAACGTGATCATAAATCCAACGAAAACAGTACAATTAATCGAAGAAAACTACAAGAATCGATCCAARGAGTGTCACTCTCCAAGAATTAATTCCAAACCTAAGAAAGCAGTAAATTAATTAAGAACAATGCAGAAATTACATAAAGCATAAATGAGTAKAAAAAYA